GTTTAAGTAGAAAACCAGTCAGCTGTTGAACCGAAAAATAACCGGTCAAGCTGGTATTAAACCGGTCAACCGTTCGGTTTGGGGGCTGACCGGTTTAATATTTTTCCCCTCCCTAAACCCAAAATGACGTTGTCTAATGCTTGGGTTCGGTCAATTCACTCGGTCCCTCCCTTCTCCTGGCCAGATCGCAAACCAGATTCCCCCATTCCCATCTTCGTTTCGTTGAGACGTTGAGTTCGAGTGCGCCATCGAGTGTTCGAGTTCTCCCTTGCAATTGCAGCGCCGTTGAGTGTTTGAGTTCTCCCTTGCAGCGCTATTGAGTTCGAGTGTTCAACCATTCTCCCTTGCAGCGCCGTCGAGTGTTCGACTGCTCTCCCTTGCAGCGCAGTTGAGTTGTGTGTTTTGTTGAGTTTGAGTGTTCGATCGTTCTCCCTTGACCAAGATTCCCATTCCCTTCTTCATTGAGTTTGTTCTAGTGTTCGACCGGTCTCTCTGCCCCAGATCCGTTGCTGCTCGCCTTGCCTGAAACTAAAAGGCACCCTTCAATCCCTGGTTCAATTAATCAGATTCATACTAGCTTTGGCACATTGGGTAAGCTCGAAAAACATTCCCTCCCTTTTTAGCCAGGTTGTGATTTTAGGAATAAATTAATAAATATCTCTACTTTGATTTCTGCCTTTCTCCATTGGCCAAAAGGTTTGAGAAATGGGAAGTGAGGGGAGATGAAAATCTCTATCTTAGTGCCTTTCACCAACTTCACGAATTGCCTCTGCCTTTTGAGTTTCTCCACAGGCCGATTGTTTAGCTCTGCCTTTTCACCATATTGTCTCTTTAAACCTAAAACAAACAAACAATGTTAGAAGTGTTAGAATGATGAATATGATTGATTGTTTTCTGCTCTCTCCTTTGAAGCTTTGTTGCTGACTTGCTATGTAGCTGATAAGTAGAAGTGTTCTATTTTAATGTTATGAATTAAATTACATTATTTTAATATGATCGGTTCAACCTTGGTCCGACTAGTGACCCTTAACCCACTGCTTTGACCGGTTTAACCCCTGGTCTGGTTTTTTGTTCCTTGTTTAATTTTGTTAATATGATTAAAATTAAATCGAAATTCTTATAAAATTAGAAGAATTAATGCTTTATAAGAAAGAAATGATTAAGAGAATACATTATAGTAACTAATAATAATATTAACTTTTTATTTATATATGTACAGCCGGGAAACCAGACAGCTTTAATGCATTTAAGTACTGATTTTTATTGTCGGCAGTACCCCAAGCACCGGGCGACGCGGTGGGAGCAAGGGGCCAGGTGCCGGACGCAACGGACCACGCGATGACGCGAAAGGACAACATATTTTTTTTAAAAAAAAAATAATATAAAATTTTAACCTGAAAATTTAATCTCACTTTAGTTTTAGTTTCTAAAATTTAAAATCAGTATTTTGATTCTTAAAATTTGAGACTATATTTAACTTATAAGGAATAACTACTTACGGACCAAGTAAATTTTAAGGATGAAAAGAACTAATTTTAAATTTTAAAATTAATTCAAAAAGTAAAAATAAAAAAATAAAAGGGAAAAAACGAACGCCAGTGATTCATTATCCAGGTGGCCATGAAAAGGTGTGGTTGAAACAAAAATCACGCCATACACGTGCCTGATCCTGTCCTTTACATATATCTATAGTGGTGTATGTATCTACATAACTATTAAAATTATTTTTGTCATTTATAATATAAATGCTCTCTCTTCCTTCCAGTAAATTTTCCTATGCAAGACACAACGACACGTAGGCAGTTAAATCCTGAAAAATTTTACTTAAAAATTAGGGAAAATTAAGCTAAGGTCTCATAGAAGATAAAATACTGCAAAAAAAAAAAACTGAAAATCTGATAATTGCTTTGGAGTCACAAAGGATCTTGACTGAAATAATGAAAAAGTTAAAAAGACCTTATTACCCCTAGTACAGAAAAAGTGCTGAAATGAGAGAATTGTTAATGTAGGTCACGATAGTTGTCAATATAAACCGTAATAGTTGTTAATACTACTGCTTCATTTGTCAATTTATCTGTTGATATAAGTTTAAAAAAAAATATGATTCCAAGTTACACAATGACAAGTAAAATTAACATATCTTGCGGACTAATATTTTTTTATAATAATGTGATTAATCTAATATCGTTATTAAAAATAAATTATCACTTATATGAAATTTTACCCTTAAAGATATTAAAGATGGAGCAATCCCATCTGAATCGAACGGATCCTAATGTCAGTTAACATATATGGAAAGACAGGCATTTTGATTTTTGGAAGGAAAAAATCGGTCAATTAAAGATCTCAGTTTTCCTTTTTTGACCACCGGACGAAGCCAGGCAGGAAACAAAATGCTCACTTTGAATGCTATTCCCTCACCCTCTGTCACTTTCGTCAAATCCAAACCACCAATCTTCCGTGAACGCATCCATATCTTCTCACTTGGATTCACAACCACAAGAACCTCCAGTGCTGCAGGGCCATTTCCTCGGCTTCATGAAGCTGGTTCCAGAAGTTCCCTTGCGACCCACATCTCAAATCCAAGATTCAATCACTAATTTAAGCCTATCTGTCCATATATGTTAACTGGCATTAAGGATCCGTTGGCTCTTCATGACATTGCTGCATTTTAATGAGTTTAACGGTAAAATTACATTACAAATCACTTTAGAATACTGGGGGTAACTATAAAAATAGTTAAGATACTCGATACACTCTGAATTATTTGTTGAATGATTTTTTTTTTTAATGGGCCATATCGTTATCATATCGTCCTCCCGTTCTCCTTTATCCACATACTAGGGTTTAAATTATTGATCTCGCTGAACCACTGACGATTTCTGCACAATCTTTGTGTGTTTTTTTCAGACGTTTAGAAAATGACATCATTATTTTATTAAATTGTTGTCAAATTGAGGTGAAAAAATTTGATGAAAGCATGACACAACCCTCCGCATAGCACAGGAAAATGTTACTGATATGGTGTTTATAAATTACCTTCAACGTGTTTTATATAAATCAAGAAAAATTTTAAATTTCATTAACTCTCATTTAAAATTTAATAAAATTTTAAATTTATCTCTATTTAATATATATTATATTTCATAAGAATAAAGTTAACACAATAATAAATGAAGGGTAAAACTGTACATTCATATAATTTTTTTTCTGCCTAATAAATATAGAACAAAAATCTCTTCTCTCTCGGCGCCAAAGGAGTATGTCATGAAGCCCAGGAAAATGAGATGTGAAAAAAAAAAAAGTAAGTACTCGTCTGATTTTATTTATAAGGTACTTTTAGCATATTCTAATAGAATTAAGAAAAACCTTTAATATCAACAAGTCTGTTTTAAAATTTAATAAATTTTCAACTCTACTCATATTTAATTATGCTCACTCCATCCTTTATTATAAGAAACAACTACTAAGATCATGTGATTCAAAATGTTAGTTAAACTTAGTTAAAAATAATAACTATGTAAGATATGTTCATTTTTTTCCAATTATATATACCATTATCGGTAAACAGAGTATATGAGAGATAATAAGTAAAATTTATTGTAGGAAAATAAGAAGTGGCATATTTTTAATGAGGCTAAAAGTAAAAAGATGAGTATAGAATTTGAGAAAAAAGAAGAGTTGTTTTTTATAGTTAGAAACGCCATTCTAAGAGAAATTATTTCTTATAAAATAAAAAGAGACGGGGAGAGTACTTCTCAAGAAAATAACAATTTGTATATAATAATAAATAACGATAGCAGCTCAATATTGCTTACTTGTTACGGGATATTTTTAGTGATTAGATTTATTTTTTGCAATTTCATATCAATTTTCTCTATGTTTTTTCGTTTTAAAAGGGCGTCATGAAAAACACTTGTCATGATTTGATAATAAAAAAGAAAAGTGAAATTTTTATTTTAATTAATTTTAACAGAGGATAAATCTGCATGCGTGTATGATTTGATAATAATTGTTTTTGGCCTAATGTTTATTAATTTGATTAGCAGTACTTAATAATACGGTCTCCAAATTGGTTTTAGGGGATATTTGGAAGTTCCAAAAGTACTTCTTAAAAGTATTTTTTTGTAAAACGAGATAAATTTTTTTATATATTTATTTCGTATACGATAAAAGTATTTTTAAAATCATGGTTTAATTTTCACCCAAATAACTATTAGTACTGTTCAAGGGTGATGTGTACCCCGTCAATGGCTTGTTGTCCCATGAACAATACGACATGTCATGTTTGGATATGAAGCCCTGAATCTGTGCTCGCGTTCACGTGTTTGTTTTCACTTTTTATTTTTCACTTCTAATTTAGAAAATACAAAAGTTGTTTTCAGTGCTTCTTAAAATTATTCTATGACTCATATTTTTAAATTTTATAATTAAATTTAAAATTGTATATATATTTATACTATACAATTGAATATTTAAAAGATACATACGTTAAATTTATTAGCTTCACATAATATAATTTTTAGCAATGACCATACTGCTTATCTGTTAATAATTAGGCCTAAAAATTGAGTTACAAAATTCCATAAGAGAACACATAATTATGTCTCAGACACATGCACACAACATAGAATTTACGATTAAACTCATATCATCTCATAAAACTTTATTCAGTACAATAGTCCTTTTAAAAAAAAAAACAGTCATATATATATACACACTACCTCTGGTTCTTAATATAAGATCCTGTTTGACTTTTATTTTGGTCCTAAATATAAGATCCCAATCCACTTTGTTTCTCATATTTATGTATTTTTTTTCAAGGTAGTCCTTCTAATAATTGTAGTTTTAACCAATATAGTTAATTAGTAAGGATATTTTGAGAAAGATAATACCTATTTCTTATAAATAACTAACTTAACTTTTTTTCTTAATCTCTTCAAATTAGTCAACTGAGTCTTATAATTAGGACTGGAGGTAGTATATATGTATGATGAAGATGATGATAAAGATGGAAGATTTTATTTATTATTTCTCACGGATGGAGATATTTCACAGCTCACAGATCAATTTGGAATAATACATTTTATTTTGAAGGAGATGAAAGGAGAAGCAAATAGATGGGACCGGACGCTCTATATAGCTACCGATCGATAGAAAGAGTCACTCCTTCTTCCTTATCATTCCTTGCTGTCTCTCTCATCTCTCCCATGCAGATTACTCCAAACTGATGTGTGGATAACATCTCAACTCTCAACTAACGTAATAGACCGGGTCGGGCAGCTTGAAGGTCCGCCTGCCCGTATGAGTTCCCAGGATGTCACTCCACTGGTCTCCGATGTTTCCCACGATTCTGTACCCTTGCTTCACCAGCTTCTCTCTCTCCGCCGACTTGTACACCACCGCCGTCGAATCTCCGTGCTCCGTCGTATCCCTGTAATTATTAACCCCAAGCTATCAATACTTCTCATCCATCAGAACACCACAATGACTCCCACACAACACAACTCAAACTATACACACACAGCCATACAAATTAGTGATCATGCAGGTAAGATTATATATAAGTGATCATTTACTTGAGGATCAACTTGTGCCAAGTGTGGTAGCCAGCTTTCTTGAGGTTTGCAACGGTAGCTGTGGTTAGATCGGTGGTTCTTCCAGTAAGGAACACAATCTTGATGCCCAGATTGAGCAACTTGTTGTACAGCTTCCGCGTTTCTGGTAGTGCTGGTGATACTCCTTTCCCCAAAAACTCGTAGAACTCTGTCTCGTTGTATGGTAGCGCCCTTCACGCGCGCGCGCGCACACACACACAAAGAAATCAGTATGGCCAGTGAGCCTAAAAGTACAGTACAGTATTAATCCATGAAGAAATGAAGAAGAAGATATATGTATGTATACCCGAATCCATTTTGAACGAAGTAGGGAAGATTGGAGAGGGAAGTCTCGTCAATGTCAAAGATCCAGATGTTTCTGCCATCTCTAGGGAGAGCGAGAGAGCGAGCATAGAAATAAGCTTCTCTGTTAACTGCTTTGGAGTCGTCTCTGTAGTGTTGACCCAGCATGTAGTTGCCGACGTAGTCTCGGCACTCCGCCGGAATGCCGGTCCACTCAATGATGTTGTGGACTTCCACCGCCAGCCGCCAGCTCGCGCAGGTTATGCCCTGGACGGAGGCGCCTTCTGGGCCCGACCCGGATTTCAGACGGAGAGGGAAGATTTGGTAAGGTTCTTCTGCTCCATAGCTTGTCGCTGCAATACAGGCGACAAGCAGAAAAGCGACTACTAGGGTTTTCATCATCTCAGAAAGAAGAGAGAAGGCAGATTTTGGATGCCGGAACTCGCCTTGGGTTTGCTTTCTTTAAATAGACTTCATGCGGGGAAAGATTAATGTTGATTCATATTTATCTTTCTGTAGTAATATTATACTGTGGCACAATAGAAGACAAGCTCTTAAATTACATATGGACTCACTCTTTGTCCCCATCGATGGATTCACTTGGATATAGACCCTTTTTTTTTTTTAATTTTTTTTAATATCATATTAAATACAATATTTACTGGACCCGATGTACATAAACTTTGAGTCATATTAGCTGCACATTTTTCATGAGCTGCTATCCTGTTATCATTGATACTATCTGTTTAATTATTACGTAAAACTATATGTCTCTCATTCCACAAGATAGGTGATATGATGATTTAAAATTTCTTAATAAATTATGTTATAATTAATTCAAAATATAATAAGTCCAATTTACATAACTACAGCGAGTTAAATGGAAATTAACTCATGAAATTTGTAAAAAAATAATTATTACTATGCTTACCAAAACTACCCTTATTAAATTTAAAGCGGTCACTGATAGTATTTAATTGTAGAAAAAGACAAGTTATAATTTACCCAAAAAAACGTTTTAAAAAAAAGTTAAGAAAAGGGTTACAGGATATTAAGCGCACACTAAAATATTTTGGGGCACAATCTTGCTTCTAATATACTACCTTTTGTCTTAATTATAAGATCTTGTTTAATTTGTAATCTACAAACAATATCTTATAACTAGGATCGGAGGTGGTATTAAAAGCAGATGAATTTCATCCAGTAAATATTTCAGAGTGGTCACCTTAACCCTTAAGAAAAGCAATTAATGCCTGATATGCTATCATTATCAAACAAGAGCTATACTTTAGACCCAAAAAAAAAAAGGAAAAATGATTTATATTTTGAACTAAAAAAAGTTTACAGAAAAAGGACTTATTTTTCTAAATAAAATAGTAACGGAATTAAAAAAGTTCCACGCGACAAAATAATAAAATATATGAAGATTCCATAAAAACTGTCTAAAAAAAAGTTGTGTGAAGAGTCCTAAATATATGATTTAGCTTGTAGTATAAATTACATTACAAATTACTTGTCTGGTCCTATTTTTGGTCCTATTTACAAGGTAGGAAGAGAATTTTTTATATGAATATATAATTTTATTCTTCATTTATTATTTTGTTGACTTTATTCTTATGGGATATAATGTATATTAAATAATAATAAAATTAAAAAGTTGTCGAATTTTTACGTAAAGTTAATGAAGTTTAAAATTTTTATGTAAAATATGTTGGAAGTAACTTATAAAATCAAAAGAGCATATCTTATATTTAGCACCCAAGGTCGTTTTTTTCCTATGAATGATGTGATCCACCACATTTTATATCAAGAAGATTTAAGTATTTAATATATGCTTAATACATTTTTATCCAATCAAATAAATATAACTAGCTTTTAAACTGTTAATCGTATTAATAATAAGTATTTGTTATGGAATAAATAATACAACCTCATCTCCTTAATATAAAAGCTATAGGAATCTCCTTAATACACACACACACAATCAATATACATACTTTAGGAAAAAATAATAAATTTGGAAGATAAAATAAATAGGGTTTTATATTTAGAACAAAATCCAAAATCTAACTAATTTTTATATGAAGGGCCCGGGCTAGTGCATGGAAAAAATCCATATATCTTGATCGGATTGAAAACAAGAACATTTAGTGTGTGTGTGTGTGTGTGTAAATCAGTGACCTTGGTTAACTATTTAAATTTTGTTCTGAAACAGGCTGCTTGAACATATTTTCAATAAAACAGAAATATAAATTAGAATTAAGTAGATCTTTTGCAGCCTGTAGGTATCTTTTTTATTTAATAATGATATGTGTGAAATCAATTTTTCAAAAAATATAATCACATTTTTATCCAAAACGTTAATATAGGAATATATCTAAAAAAAGAGATAATCTTCATCATATTTTAGTGTGTTGAAAGCAGAATGTTTTAAGTGAATCTCAATATTTTAAGTTGGACTATGATCAAGCCTATTATAATTAAATTAATATATTTTTAATTTTATACTCATTATTTTAAAGAATAGAAATTGAAAATGCTAAAACATTATAAATTAAAACATGTAAAAAATATTTTATAAATATAAAATAATAGATATCTGTAAGGGAAAATTACAAATTAAGACCCCTTAATATGTAAAATTGTGATTTGGGATCTTAAATTTAGAAAATAGCAAATAAGAATCGGGTCTCACTTTTGCAAATATGAAATGTGGATGAAATGTTTAAAATACCCCTCAGCCAAATTGTGATTTGGTCTACTGAAGTTGGTATTCGCTAAAGTGAACTTGTTATTTTCAATAGTTAACTTATCATTTAACATACCCTCAATCAAGTTATGATTTGATTTACTGAAATTGTCATACATTAAAGTGAACTTATCATTTTTTAAAGTTAATTTATCATTTGGTTGAGGGGTATTTCAGACATTTTACCACGATTTCATATTTGCAAAAATGAAACCGGGTCCTTATTTGCTATTTTTCAAGTTGAGGGTCTTAAATCACAATTTTACATATTCAGGGGTTTTTATTTGCAATTTTTCCTATCTGTAATGCCTATATCTATTTTATCCTATTTTATATTTCATAATTCATAATTATATACTACCTCTAGTTCTAATTATAAGACCTGATTTGTAATCTATAAATGAGATCTTATAATTAGAACAGGAGGTAGTAATATCATGCGTTTGTGTACTGTTTTTTATTCTCCTTCAATGCATCCATTATAAAGTTGATTTGTAATTATCAATGAGTTCATGTTTATTATATTTTAATAAATTTAAGTTTTAATTTGTATAGTTTCAAATTGTATTTTTTAATTCTTCTGTCCAAAATAAAAATTCATAAAAAATATACCAACCAAAATAAAAAATGTTAAAAATATAAAAGACCAAAACAAAAGTTCTTCAAAAAAATATAACCTGTTAAAATTGCATAAATAATTTTCTCCCAAAATTAAGGTAAAATCCCCATTTAAAAAGGCTTTTAACAAGTCTGGTTTTGAACTCTATATCTAATAACGTTAACTTTGTTAATACTACTAAAATCAAAATCAAATTCGAAACCTCCAAATTAAATTCTCATGTATTTACATGAAGACTAATTTTGTTGGTTCAAATTCAAGTTTTCATAAAACAACACATTAAAAAAATAAAGAAAAAGAACCGATCAAAATTAAACTGTAAAAAACTAAAAATTAATACTCCATCAGTGTTGTCACCATCAAACACCGGACCACGCGGCCTGGTGCAGCATGCCAAGGACGATGCAAAAGAACAGGAGGAAATTACAATCAAATCCCACAGTATTATCACCATCAAACACCGGACCACGCGGCCTGGTGCGGCATGCGAAGGACGATGCAAAAGAATAAGAGCAAATTACAATTAAGTGTTATAAAAGAAAAATAATTATCAAAAAATTTCAATAACAACATCAACGGCTTATAATAACAAATTTTATAGTAAGAATAACAACTTTTGGGATTTATTTTTTAATTGTTTTTTTACTCAAGACCTCATTATAATTCTCTCACAAAACAATGCATTAAAAAAATAAAGAAAAAGTAAAAGATTGATATAATTTTTAATGAATAAAGTTTAATCTCATTTTAATTTGAGAGAATTATAATGAGATTCTAAAAAAGAAAAATAAATATTAAAAAATTCTAATAATAATATAAGCAGTATGTAATGATAAGTTACAGAACAGAAAATAATAATTTTGAGACTTATGTTATAATCATTTTTCTTCTTTAGGACTTTATTATAATTTTTTCTTTTAATTTTGGTCTTTAAAATTCAAAACTAATATTTTTAGTTCTTAAAGTTGGAACTATATTTAATTTATAAAGACTAATGTTCATACATGAATAAATTTTAAGAACAAAAAATAACTATTTCAAATGCTAGGTACCAAAATCAAAATATTGTCACCAATAATAAGCTTTATCTTACTAGATGAGATTGACTATATGGATTGTAACGACATCATTATATTCTCTTAATAATTAAGTCTTTAGATGGATTGTTAATCAATTGAGCGTTCTTTGTTTTTAAAGGGCTCCAAACTATTGAATTAAAAATCAAAGTATGGTCAAATCTTAAAAATAAAAAAATGTATTAATTTGAAAAGTAAGAAAAAAGATAAAAACGAATACCAGTGATTCGTTATCCAATTATTCCAGGTGTCATAAGAAGGCGTGCTGAAACAGGAATCACGGAATACATGTGCCTGATCCTGTACTTTTCAAAATTCAAATATCAATGATAATATTGAAAACTATTCATTAATTTATTTAAATTACTTTTGTTATTGAGGATATAAATTCTCTCTCATGATCTCATCCATCAAATAAATTTCCCAACGCAATGCACAGCCACAGGTTTTTTTCTCTTAAACCTGAATGCTATGAATGTTTAAAAAAAAAAATTCCCGAAGATCTTATTATATGTGAAAACTGAGAAGTATGTCTTTAAAATAGTAGGTTCTCTCTGTAAAAATGGATAAAAAAAGATGAACTTAGTGACAGTTAAATCCTAAAAAAATTTCACAAAAAGATTAGTTGTAAATATAAATTTTAATAATTACAAAATTAAAAGCCTTAATTACCAAAAAAAAGAAGAAGACATTTAAGTTTTATATGTTATTTTTAATGATTTATTGCTAATACCCTCATATTTATAATTATTTAAAGTTTTAAACCAATTATATTGCGAACTAATTTTTGAGCGAATTTTAGAGTGTTGAATACCTGTAATCTTTTAAAAGAAATGATCCTTCATTATCTTATTAAATTACTGTGGAATTCAACAATCAAGGTCAAAAAGTTTGGCAAAACCGCAAAAGCATGACACAACCCTTCATGCAGTCCAAGAAAATGTTATGTCGTGAAGTCCAAGAGAAAGAGATGTAATTACTATAAAATTTAAAT